TACTATATCGCCTAGAAAATTGTTTTTCACCCCCCCAAAATATAAATTGTTACTAATCGCTCCCTGAACATGAAAAAAACGCCCACGTGGGAGTGATATCGTCTGCGTTGAGAAACACTGGTGTAGATGGAGAAGAGTCGCTGTCAACATTTTCACTTAAGTACTTGTCACCAAGAGTAGGATAATTTTCATAATAGTTGGAATCTTCCAGCTTGTGCTTGATGCCAAAGTTAGCAATGTTGCTCTTTATGTGGTCCAGAAAAACAGAGAGGATGTTATTATGACTATTGCTGCTGTTGGAAACTTTGCCATTCACTTTGTTACAGATATTCCAGTTCAATATAGCCATCCTGGCTTTAATATACACTAGAAGGAGGCCCACAATGACAAGCAGGGTCGAAGTAGGCACCGTTCTGTATGCTCTACAAATACGTAGAGCGACAATCCTCTGTGTCTTTAGGAGTTTGCATTGAATGTGCACAGTTTGGTTGGCCACTGCCCAGATAGGCGCAGCGTACAAAAGAATAGGCTCTATGGCCCCCAGGTAGATATAACATGCCGCATTATAATGTATTCCCCAGGTGTTTTTTTGTGATACTGTTCAGAGCATTAGACACCTGAACAGCTTTGGCACTCACCATGTCTATGTGTTTAGTCCATTAGAGTTGCAGCTCAAGAACAACCCCGAGATAAGTGAAGTTAGTTACTCTCGGAATCCGATACCCATCTATAAGAATCCTAGGACTTTTCTGGAGTGGTGTTTTTTCAAGAAAATAATATATGTGCACTTGTCGTAGTTGATTGGCAGATTAACACTTTTACTCCAGTTGGAAACCTTTTCAAGTAAATTATTACAGAGGACAGGCAGTTTTCCACTGTTCTTGTCTGACATGAGAATCACTCTGTCGTCTGCATACCCTTGCAAAAGCTGATCTTTTGGTCCATTGAGAATTGTTAGGAGGTCGTTATGTACAATTGCCCACAAGCTAGGGCCAGCAATTGAACCCTGTGGGCAACCTTTGGTAACACGATGGCTGTATCTAAAGTTGTTGGTGCCAGCTTGCCTGCCTCTCATTTATGAAACTACTCATCAGGTTGTATAAGTTGCGCGGCAGTTATAAACCCACAGTTGATGGAGAATTGACGGCCACCAGAGATTATCAAACGCTCCACAGAAGTCAATAGACACAAGGAGTGTGTGTTTACCTTCTTTTTTTGGCAGAAGTGATGTACTTAATAATGTTGGACACAGCAGCAGTAATGGATTTTCCAGATGTGAATCTGTGCTGGTGGAGACTTATTTCTCCTCAAATAATTTAAAATCCTATTGCTGACCAGCCTATCAAGGATTTTAAATTTTCTCATCACAGGAAGGAGGCTGATAGGCCTGAAATCCTTTGGGTGTTTAGGATTATCATTAGACCTCTTTTGAATGAATTTAACAGATGCTTTTTCCCAGTCAGCAGGGAAGTACCCAAGAGAAATGCAGCAGTTGTACAGAGTAACAAAAGTAGTAGGAATTGCATCATATGCCTCTCAGATTATCTTCCCAGTTACCTGATCAATGCCTGGAGCTTCTTTGATTTTAATGAGTTTAATAGCATGGGATACTTCATTATACGTGAATGGTCTGTCGTCCTGGTCTTTTGATGCCACATGGCAGTTGCTGCACAATTCTCTCTGGGTGTCAGTATCAAGATCGGCGTCGTCAAATGGGAAGTGATAGTTGAAGAGCTCTTCCATAGTACTTGTTAGGGAGTTGATGTGAGTGCCCTTTGCCATAAGTATCATAGAGGGAATTTCCACCTTGTTTTTCCTCTTAAATGCAATATAATACAGCTTGCTCCAAGGGGTGTTGAAGCGGCTGCAATAGCTTCTCCATGCTTGGTGTCTATTACGATTTATTAAGGTTTTATAGTCATTAAATTTGGCAATGTAGTTGACCCTTTGGATTTCCCTCATGTTACCATCTTTGTCTCTGATATGTTCTATGTAGCTTATGCACATCCTTTCGACAATAATCAAGTTCATTATCCCACCATGGGGCTTTTGTATTCTTTTTGTTTTTCTTACGGCTTGCCCAGTGGTAGCTATGAGTATGGTCATAGTCAGGTCAGAAACACACTGATCAATTCCATCTTCTGTCATACCAGTAATAGGAGAATCTGTGACCTAGTTGTTCTGTAGCAGGTGCTTGTAAGTGGGCCAGTGGGTACAGCTGTAGGTAGTAATATCATTGATCCTATTGATTTCAATGTTTAGTTCAATTTTAACATAACGATGATCACTGGGACTCAGTTCTTCCATAGTTGAGCAGTAATTAATCATGGGAGCCATTTAACATGGGTAGCTAATGTGACATCCACCCAGCTTTCTCCCCTTGAAGAAAAATAGGTGGGGAGAAGGCTGATGTTGCAGGATGTCAGTTGAAGAGTTGCTATCAGTTCAAGCATGCAATAGCCCCTTGGATCTTCTTTAGGACTATGCCATAGGAAGGATTTAGCATTGGGATCACCACAGATAAAGCCATGGGTGGTCGGTAATTTTGTTATTGATATTATCAAGGTCCTCTAACAAAGGCTCAATGTTTTCAAAAGGCGATCAGTAGATAGAAGAAATATAGATGACCATGTTCTGAGTGTGCACCATACCAGTTGTAATATAGCAAGTTGAGAGATGTAGCATGAACTGAGCTGAACAGTTAGGCTAGTATCTTTTATAAGGATGGCTGTTTTGATCTTATCATTAAAGCCTCTGGGAGGGGTAGTAAAGTAGCCATTAAAAAGGTACGGTTCCTGGACCACAATGATGTCTGAGTGCCAGTCCTCTGCAGTTTTGATGGCCAAGGAGGAAGGGGCTTTGCCCCTTTGGAGATTGATCTGCATAATTTTAAGGTTGTTATGATTTGACTGAGTAGTAGTGTTGTGGAAATTAAAGGCCATAATTAGTTTGGCTGACCATGTTAGATTTGATTCTGTTGGTTATTGGGCATGCAGGATCAAAAGCATTGTGGTCAGTTTTCAGCTGCTTGCCTTCTGGTTGAACTTTATTAGTGGCTTTGCAGTTAGTACAACAAGGAGCCTTGTCAAGGCACCAGCAGTCAGCAAAATGGTGCTGCTGTGCACAGTGGCTACATCTAAGCTCTCCTGGACACTCACTGGTATGGTGATTGTAGTCAATTCTCTGCACAATTTATTGCATAAAATACATACTTATGTCAATATAGTTTGATAACATCACACAAAAAACAACAGAAAGGCAAACTGTCACACAGTAATAACAAGTTAATGTCCAGTATGTTCAAAAAGTTCGCCATTGTTATCAAACTGTATTGATATAAGTACGTATTTTATTCAATAAATTGTGTGTATTTCTTCATACCTATGGCTATTCCTTTCAAACGTTTACATAAAATGGCGTGCATCGCTTTCGGACATTTTTGGTTATATAGGTGACAGTTTATCTTATCTGTGTGAACCACATGTCGTTTCATACTAAGTAATTGATGCTCTAAAACTTTCTAATTGGAAAGTTTGCTCTATCTGTTTTCGTTTTCGATTTGCACTGCCTATCTTCCAAATTTCACTACTAGGAGCGCTGTTGTCATTTGCATTAGGTCGGGCGTAGTCACTATACTATACTGTTACCTCACTTGCATAGCTATAGCTCTCTCCGTTTGCAAGAATTTTCCAGTTAAAGGGACTTTCCTATGCATCCTGTATACACAAAACTTACGATTAAGCAGTTACAATGCTGATGCGGCAATCAAAAACAGAACTGCGGTTCACCACATCCTAACTGTCTGATTCCTACAGGACCAGCCAGTTCCAATTGTATAGAATGCAGATGGAATTAAATTGCATAAACTGGTATGGTTAATAAAATTTTAATGCCATTAATTAATACAACATGCAAGGTCATGGAGTTGCATAGCAATAATAACTTGATTTTGATCAAAAGTGCAGATAGGACCCTCCTGTTCTAGCATGACAATTTCTCTTTTGGAAACATTTTTAGTACATTTAGAGAATAATAATATCCAGAAAATTATAAAAATTTTGTAGAATTTGCTTTGTTAATTATATTAATTATACATTTGTTGTCTTTTCAGAAATTTAATTACTTTCAAGTGTATCATAAAATTAGTAATTTTTTATTTAAATAACATTATATTTATATGTAATTAATAATTAATTAAGTTTTATATAAATAATTGATAATAGTAATTTTAATATTCATATGATGATTAAAACTTTCTAGAGATGTGCAAAGCGGGGTATTGAACATGATGCTCCTATTGCTCGCTATTATGAAAGATTGGCTACAGTACAAGCAAGAGGTTCTCAGGCTAGTCATCAAGTACTAAGAGACATTCTGAAAGATGTACAAAGTATTATGGTTCCTAGAGATATGATGCGTGAATGGGCATCTCACACTTATACAGGTGCTACTAATTATTGGACATTCCGGAAACAGGTAATAAAACTTGATAATTGCTATAAAAATAATTACTTTAATATCTGTAATATTTAACTACTAAACCAGATTCAAAAATTATAATAGTTTATATAATTCTATAGAATTATGTATTAATGCGTGTATAAATTTTTTTTTCTAGTTTACATTGCAACTGTCTCTAGCAGGATTTGCAGAATTTGTGCTTCATTTGACTCGTCTGAATCCAGACATGATGTACATTCATCAAGATTCTGGTCTCATGAATATCTCATATTTTAAATTTGATGTGGATGATGGAACTGGTAATTATTTAAAAATTAAATATATAATGGAGTCTTGAAAATTCAAGTTTATTGTGAATGAGACCACTTCAAATTATCAAAAACTTGAAGTATACAGAATATACATCAATTGAAAACAGTAATAAGTAAAACAAAAGTTTAAATAATGTGTTTACTATTTATAAACACAGATAAGGAGTGCTATGAAATAATGTTTGGAGTGGCCTCCAAACACTGAGTTAACGTTGGGTTGGGGACAGAGCCTCTCTTATTCAGCTTTAGACTAGTTACAAATTTTATCCTGAGAATATATGCCAAAATAAAGACCCATATGTATATGTATATCACTGGCCAAATGACCGAGTTAGTTATAGCATCACTCTACTGTTCTTGGGATTTTGGATTAAGTCCAGGCAGTCAGAAAAATTGTAGGGATTTTCTTGCAATGAGTTAATACATGGTGTGTTCAAAAAGTATCGGACCTTTGGTCGGCAAAAATAAATTTATTGACTTTGAGGTACAAAACCCTAATCCCCTTCAAAGTAGTCTCCTTGGTAATGTATACACTTCTCCCAGCGTTTTTGCCATTGCTGGGAACACTGTTAGAACGCATCTTTTGGAATGGCCATCAACCGGTCCGTCAGATTCCGCACGATGTCTTCTCTTGACTAAATTCGGGTTCCTTTTAGCAGCATTTTCAGCTTGGGAAATAGCCAAAGGTCACACAGAGCCATGTGGGGAGAGTACGGAGCGTGACGAACCACAGGAGTGTTGTGTTTGGCGACGAAAGCCCGAATCAGATGCGTAGAATGGGCGGATGCGTTATCACAATGGAGCTGCCAAGTTTTGATCGACCACAGATCCGTCGTTTGCGTCGCACTGTATCGGAAAGACAACGAAGGACCTCCTGGTAGTACTCCTTTGTGATGGTTTGGCCTTGTGGTGTGTACTCACGACACACCACCCCACGAGAGTCGAAAAAACTGTCAACATGATCTTTGATATTGCTGTGGACCTGCCGCGCTTTTTTTGGCCTCGAGGATCGTCCCCGAAAGCCTGCTGAATCTTGCAAATGGTTTACGCTTGGGTATCACCAAGGTTTTTGGCAAAATTTGATGTAATATCGTTGCTCACGTTGTTCAGTCATTTTCCAGCTTAGTGAAATCCGACGAGAGCGCACTACATGACCTCACTCATAGGCCGATTGCCAACGACTGACGCTTTCTGCAGGCAGGAAAAAATTCAGGGCTGTGCATGACTGTCCCCTCCACAACTCCACCAAAGGAGGCCTCTTGCGCATCATTGGTTTATGTGGAAAAAAAAGGTCCGATACTTTTTGAACAGACCTCGTATAATTTTAAAAATGAACATATCCAAGGGACACTTATCAGAACCCTCTTCAGCAATCAGTTACTTTAAAATAAATATAATAATGCATATTGCATAACCTGAATTAGTTGAGATTAGATAACTAAAGTAATTCTAGTGTAATTGAGTAATATTCTATGAAAAATTACAGGAGGGGGCATACGTCTGGTCATTCTGAATATGCCTTCAGCAGCACGCATAGTCTCAAAATTTAATATAAGTATTAGTCCAATGTGGATGCCATTATAGTGGCCTACAGCCCAAATTGTGATATGTTATTTTCAAATTAGAAGTTTAAAATTGCACATTGTGACAGGCCAAATGTCAGTTTGCATGGGCTGTTCCACTGCAGTCTGTATCTACATAAGGACAGTCTTTTAAAATTTCAAGTAATATATAGTTCATGACAAATGTGTGAGAAGCCGGGGATTAGAGAGCAAATCTCTCAACCCCTTTGATTGGCATTGAGTTGGTAAAACCTGCTCATGTTGTTACTGGATGGCTAGATGGGCTATAAGTAGAGTGGGGAGGTCACAGATAAGTTGATGAGGTGTCTGGTTTGAACAATTGGAGTCAATGCCAGTTTAACTAAACAATATCTTTAATAGGAAAATAAAGCAATTTACAATAACCAGCTACAATTACAAATATATGTATGACATATAGCACACACATCCCTATACAATCCAATATCTATGGGATATATACAACCTCTAAACTAAAGATCTAAGTCGAGAGAGAGAGAGAGTTTACATTTATTTGGTCCAATAGAGGTATTCTACTTAATGTCCCTGCTTTAGGCATCCGGCGATGGTTTCAGAGAGACATTTGGAGAAATGAGTTGTTCTGGAGAATGGCTGGATGGGAGTCTTGGGCCACCTGCTTCTTTGGTGGAGTCTGCCCCGATGATCGAGTTTGAGCCCTTTTTATTCTTCCGAAGCATGGAGTCAAGTCAGATTACTTTTATTTAACCTGTCCTGTGTTGTTCCTGAAAATATTCAGGTTGACCTCATTGACCTGCATGGGCAATCCCGAATATTTTCGTGTTTACATCGGAACGTTTTTGATACTAGATGTTGCTATGCGTCACAATTTTTATATTAAAATGAACTTTTAAAATATAATTTTTTGTGTTTCTATATTATTCAATATATTTTTATTTTGTTTGTGAAACATAAAAAAATAATTTTTTATGATACAGTAAACACGATTGTTATTTTAAAAAAAAATTTTAGGCTTAACATCGATGAAAATTCAACATGGCGTCACAGACAACAAATAAAAATTTCAACATCGAATAGGTTAATGTGGTCTAAGTTTGAGATGTGTCACTGATACAGGCCATAAATAAGGCTTCGATGACCTGGCCAGATTGTTGATACTTTTTGCCAGGTGCTCTGACTCTTTTTTACCATATAAGGCAACAAATTCGAAGTTCTTAGACATCACTATCGATTTCACTCTTCTTACCTCATAATTTAACTGATTTTGACATCTCTCCTCATTAATAACCATATGTTTAGCTTCTCTCTACACTTATCCAAAACATTGTTAAAATTGTCAATTTGTATGGTTATTTGATTGCCTTATCTATTGGTCAGAAAGGCCAGGTGGTGGAAAAAAGTGTGTTTTATCCAATTCTCAAATTTAACTGCATATTAATGTTTTCCCTTTAATTAAACTAATGAATTGCTCCAGAATCTCACAAATACAATCTAACTGTTTATATGGACCATACATATTAGAATGAGACTTTTTAAAAATTTAATATGTGATAGACAGATTAATAAATAAAATTGCACTATTTTTCTCAAGTGAAATATACTAGCCCATCAGAAAATTGGGAATTTTTCAGTGGGCCAGTTTACCACTAGTGATAAAATACCTTGTTAGAAATAATGATTAAAAAACTTAACAAATTTAGCAATCATTTAATATTTCAATAAAATAAATCTTTGACAAAGTGTGATTTTTATTCATTAGACATAATAATTTAGTTTTTAAATTCTTCTGTTTATTTCTTAGGTGAACTGGATGCCAATCGACCTGTTCCTTTCCGTTTGACTCCAAATATATCAGAATTTATCACACCCATTGGTGTTGGTGGCCCTATGACTGCAGCAATGATTGCCACAGCTCGATGTTTGGTTCAGCCTAATTTTAGAGTTCAGGCATTACTGAGAGCAATTTTGATTGATGAAATTCTGGCTTGGTATAAAAAGGTAAAAATAATTAATTAATGATGCATCTTGAAGTAAATTATGATTATGAAATAAATAACAAAATGTCTTATTAGCGACAAGATGAATCACCCTGTACTGCTCAAGGTGACACAGAAGGGGAGTTGATTACTATGGTTACAAAAGCTGTGGTTGCCATTATGGGAAGGTTACACAGTAAGTAAAATTGCTATTTTAAATAAAATATGATTAATAATAATTAATATAAAAAAAATACTGAAATGTTCTAATTATAAATCTTCAAAATTTAAATACAAAATTTTTTACGAGTATCCATTTTGATATTCAATATCTCAGATAATTTCAGTTATACATGACTCCTAACATTTCATACCCAAAGACAAAAAAGAAAAAAAACCAGTTTTTTTGGACTTTAAAAAACTTATGATTTAAATAAAGATGAACTGTTGACTATGAGAATATTAGATATATATATATTATAATAGTTAATTGATTTTAAGTGTTGACTTAATGTGTGGGCATGAGTTACATTCAATAGAACACTCATAAACAACAATTTATACAATGTAAAAGTAATCAAAATTCCAAAAGCTTTCCCTTACTTAGGTTGATAATTACATGTTTAATTTTTTAAACATGTAATTATCAACCTAAAAAAAGTATAAAACAACTGACTGATTGATAAATTAGGTGAAGTCAAATAAACTTGATTTTTTAAAGAAATTTTTCTTACAGTACATAAACTGAATGCTAGTTGCATAAAAGTAGAAATGTAAATAATTCATAGATATCTAACTATAGCAAAGAAAAAAGCAGTGAATGATATGTATATGCAAAGTTAAAAAATTACACATGAAGTTAATTTCTAAAATTAATTATAATGTTTACATTTATAATAAGGCATATCATTTGGTGGATTGCATGTAGGATTATTTCATGTTCATTTCATTAGCATTATTTTGTTGTTGTTGTGACTTTAATGTAATCATCAAAATTTTTTATTTTATATATGGTATCTCAGCATGCTATTTTACTTTTGTTTTGTTTGAAATATAATTGTGTATTATTAAAAACTTATAATGAAATATTAATTTTGTCAGAATTAAGTACATTATAAAAAATGATAGGTCAATATGCTTTTACAAAAAGTGTAAGGTATAGAAGAACTTTTTAAAGTGATCGTCCTTTTGTAAAAAGTTTGAAACTATTGACTTAGCTTGAATGCGTGTATTTCTCTCTTGCTTATCAATATTCCACCATAAAGTAGAATGAACAGAATATTTGCAAGCTTTTTTTGGTTATTGATTCTTATTAATTTATCAGATAATGCTTTTGTCTATGATAAATGTTTAGAAGAATTGCTTTACCTCAACTGAACTTAAATCTTTTAAAATTTTAATTTTATTTATATAACATTACAAAATAAAATGGATTAAAAATTCTCATTTTTCCCATTTAGATTTAGCAACATTTGATGGGGCTGACAGTAAAGTGAGTACTCTAGTTGCAGCAGCAAATAGCCATGACAACTTGTGCAGAATGGATCCAGCATGGCATCCTTGGCTATGAGTAGTTTTTTTGTAATCTTGTAAAATATTCATCTCAGATAACATCAACCTTTTTTTTAATTTAAACATTTAAAAAAATAATAAAATCATTTCCATTCCCATATTTAAGATTCAGAAGTCTTCATATTGTAAATGTATAAATGAAACAAGCCAAGTAACATTTGTAGAATTTAATATAACATGTACAAAAATTTTGCATATTTGCATACTTTTGTGAATGTAAAAACAATAATAAAGTATCAGTTTGTATTAGATGCTATAATCTTGTTTGTTGAATTAAAACAAAAAACTTCACTAAATTCTAAATTTAGAAATATTTTCATGACAAATTTAAATTGATTTGTTCATTGAAAACAAATACTATTTTTATGCAATGAATTCTTGTACTGAATCATGCTTTTGATTTGCTTTATCCAATAAAATATACTGGATCATATATAATCCATACTCATTTTTATACAAAATCAGAGAAACTTTTAAAAAAGTGCAAAAGTAATGTATTTGATACATAGATGGATGAAATTGTTATTTAATCTCAATTATTCATTTTCAGCAAGAAACATTTGTCAATTTACACAAAATTTTAAATATTTTAATTCATTTTTTTTCTATATGAAAGTGTAAGTATATTTTTTAGTTTCTTGTTAATTGTTTTCACCACAAAATGTGTACATTAATTGATGTTTACAGTTATATTTTCTATTGGAATATTCATTTTTCTGAGTTTAAACTTATTCGTGTTGTGGAAAATCAAAATGTGATTCAAGAGAATTATTTAACAAATATTTAAAATATCCATAAAAATTTTTCATTGGCAAATTATATTTGAAATTTCCATTTTAATTACACTAAATTGTTATATAATGTTAGCAGTTGAGATTTTAATTGACTTTATTTCTCAAATATCACAATCACAAAAGAATTACAACAATCAATATACAGTATTGCGCAAATTAATTACTTATATTTTTTGTCTTGTTTCTATTACTTATTTATTTTTCTTTCCATTAATTTGCACAGTATTGTTCATATATAAAAGAGAATGAAGAATAATTAAATTACTGTTTAAGGATTTGTATTTTGCTAATGTGTTTTAGATCTTTTTGTATGGAAAATTAATATAACAAAAACATTTCTTGTAACTTTTTCTGATAATCTTTAAGTGAATGTACGGATAGAAAATATTTGATTTAGAAATTTAATTCAGATGGTGATAAAATTAAGACATAAAAAACAAGTAGTGGTGATGGCCAAAATTGTTAAAGTGCTTTGCTGCTCTGGGGAATTTGGGATTGAATCTGGATGAGTCAAAAAACTCCAGGAATGTTTTAGTGGTCTGTCTAGATCTGGATATGTCATCTTTTGTCCCTCACAACCCTGCTATCTTGTGGGCTTGGCCAAACCCATAATGGGCTTTCTAAAAAGACCTCTTAGTGCCCATAGGATGGAAAGAGTTAAAATAAGAAGAAGGAGTAATAATAATTAATTTTTTCAATGTTCAAAAAAAGCATAATGACTTTCAGCTGATTTTTTATTGGAAATAATTAATTAATAATTAAAAAATAGAATTGTTTGTTACTATTAAAAAAGTGTGTTTATATGCCAAAATAATGATTAATTCACTCGTTTAAAAAATNCTTGGTAATGTATACACTTCTCCCAGCGTTTTTGCCATTGCTGGGAACACTGTTAGAACGCATCTTTTGGAATGGCCATCAACCGGTCCGTCAGATTCCGCACGATGTCTTCTCTTGACTAAATTCGGGTTCCTTTTAGCAGCATTTTCAGCTTGGGAAATAGCCAAAGGTCACACAGAGCCATGTGGGGAGAGTACGGAGCGTGACGAACCACAGGAGTGTAGTGTTTGGCGACGAAAGCCCGAATCAGATGCGTAGAATGGGCGGATGCGTTATCACAATGGAGCTGCCAAGTTTTGATCGACCACAGATCCGTCGTTTGCGTCGCACTGTATCGGAAAGACAACGAAGGACCTCCTGGTAGTACTCCTTTGTGATGGTTTGGCCTTGTGGTGTGTACTCACGACACACCACCCCACGAGAGTCGAAAAAACTGTCAACATGATCTTTGATATTGCTGCGGACCTGCCGCGCTTTTTTTGGCCTCGAGGATCGTCCCCGAAAGCCTGCTGAATCTTGCAAATGGTTTACGCTTGGGTATCACCAAGGTTTTTGGCAAAATTTGATGTAATATCGTTGCTCACGTTGTTCAGTCATTTTCCAGCTTAGTGGAATCCGACGAGAGCGCACTACATGACCTCACTCATAGGCCGATTGCCAACGACTGACGCTTTCTGCAGGCAGGAAAAAATTCAGGGCTGTGCATGACTGTCCCCTCCACAACTCCACCAAAGGAGGCCTCTTGCGCATCATTGGTTTATGTGGAAAAAAAAGGTCCGATACTTTTTGAACAGACCTCGTATAATTTAAAAAATGAACATATCCAAGGGACACTTATCAGAACCCTCTTCAGCAATCAGTTACTTTAAAATAAATATAATAATGCATATTGCATAACCTGAATTAGTTGAGATTAGATAACTAAAGTAATTCTAGTGTAATTGAGTAATATTCTATGAAAAATTACAGGAGGGGGCATACGTCTGGTCATTCTGAATCTGCCTTCAGCAGCACGCATAGTCTCAAAATTTAATATAAGTATTAGTCCAATGTGGATGCCATTATAGTGGCCTACAGCCCAAATTGTGATATGTTATTTTCAAATTAGAAGTTTAAAATTGCACATTGTGACAGGCCAAATGTCAGTTTGCATGGGCTGTTCCACTGCAGTCTGTATCTACATAAGGACAGTCTTTTAAAATTTCAAGTAATATATAGTTCATGACAAATGTGTGAGAAGCCGGGGATTAGAGAGCAAATCTCTCAACCCCTTTGATTGGCATTGAGTTGGTAAAACCTGCTCATGTTGTTACTGGATGGCTAGATGGGCTATAAGTAGAGTGGGGAGGTCACAGATAAGTTGATGAGGTGTCTGGTTTGAACAATTGGAGTCAATGCCAGTTTAACTAAACAATATCTTTAATAGGAAAATAAAGCAATTTACAATAACCAGCTACAATTACAAATATATGTATGACATATAGCACACACATCCCTATACAATCCAATATCTATGGGATATATACAACCTCTAAACTAAAGATCTAAGTCGAGAGAGAGAGAGAGTTTACATTTATTTGGTCCAATAGAGGTATTCTACTTAATGTCCCTGCTTTAGGCATCCGGCGATGGTTTCAGAGAGACATTTGGAGAAATGAGTTGTTCTGGAGAATGGCTGGATGGGAGTCTTGGGCCACCTGCTTCTTTGGTGGAGTCTGCCCCGATGATCGAGTTTGAGCCCTTTTTATTCTTCCGAAGCATGGAGTCAAGTCAGATTACTTTTATTTAACCTGTCCTGTGTTGTTCCTGAAAATATTCAGGTTGACCTCATTGACCTGCATGGGCAATCCCGAATATNAATATTAAAAAGAAAACAAATTGATCTAATATATTTTTTTGCAAAGATGAGGAAATCTTTCCAATAGAGCTCTAGTGACATTTCCAGGTACTCGTTGATGTTGGGCAATGAGTTGTTTAACTGCTTTTGACGTCTATAAATTAAAAATGTACAAAATAAAAAATTCAATTGAATGTAATCAAAACATTACAGTAATAATAATTTACCTTTTCTGCCAGTTGTTCGGCTGACATTTTTGGATCGTAAGGAATGGGTTTTCCAATTACTGTTCTAATATAAAATATGCTTAATAAGCATTTAATCAATAAACTTAAATTTTGTTCCAATTCTTTAAAATTAAAATCAGATTCAACATAAAATTAAGCAGCTTACTTCAGTTTTACAGGGAAATTTCCATAAATAGGTACAATTGGTATTCTGGTTGCTTCATACCACTTTCTAAACCAATCTATGGAAAGATCTTTTTATTAATAAGTGATGTACGCAAATTTTCAGTAGGAACATAGGAATTTTAATAATAGATTTGACTTATAGGAATCAACGAATCAGATAAATGATCTTCCTATTTATTAGGATTTTAATTTTTATATATATATATGCTATAACTGAAATGCTGATGTAAATAATTGATAGATGTGATGGAAGATAATCAGACTGATTTTTTTACTTATGTATTGAAATTATATGATGTAAATATAATGAAATTAGTGTTTCTTCTAAGTATCAATATTTACCTACAGTAACTTAGGTCTTGGTTGAAATTAATAATGTATTTCTGGAAAGAAAATGAAATAAGTGGAAAATAAATTATTGAAATAGATGAATGTAATGTGGCATTGAAGATTTATTATAATAAAAGTAACAGAAGAAACTATTAAAAGTTACCGTGTTATGGATGTGGTAAAGCCAAAAATAAGCAATTTTTGGAACAGGTTTTATTATACAACATACAACTCTTACTATCACATGATTTCAAAATAAGCTTCAACTGTAGCTATACACTTTTGTCTGCTTCCATGCTACTAGTCAAAAAAACAGCTTTCAGATTGTTTTGTGATATCTTTAGGGACTAAATAAATAAGCACGTTTGTACTAAATAACAAATTTATTTTTATATGTTTGTGAATAGTTATTACTAATCTTATAAGTCATTAAAATGCAATCGATAATTTAATGTATTAAAAGATTTTAAAAAATCCTTACGTTTTCCTATAGATAAAGGGCAGAATATTTCACGAATATTAGTTGTGAAAACCGGAATTATTGGCTACATAAAAAAATAGTAATAATTAATTACAAGTGTTCTGAAAAAATGTACCAAATAAAAAATCTACTCACCGCTTTTCCTTTTATTGCGACTTTTGCAAAACCTAATCTCTTTCCCCACAAAAGCTGGTAAGAACTATCTGCAAATTGTGCTTCTCTCATTCCTCCTGGAGCTATGGCTAATAAATCACCATTGTGGAGACAACTGACGCATTCTTCAACCGTACCAATATGAATTCTCAAAGATTCGATAAAAGAATTGAAGACTGGAAATATATTTGTTTGAATGTTCAATACCAAAATGAAGCTATTATTATTATTCATCGAAAGTTCTAGTCGTCCTGGTTCACGATTTTATGAACAGGATGATTAGTAAGAAACGGAACATTTTCTTAAGAGGAAAATTATAAGCACAGTTCTAAAGTAAATTTTCTGATAAACATCCATCTTTGCCAACGTGACAAAATAAAATTCACGCTGAACGTAAATTCGAAATTTTTTCATTTACACTTTAAAATTTCATTTAAAAATTTTCCTTAATTACATTTATAAAATAAACCAGAAAGGATTTATTCAATACCTGGTAATTGAAAGACGAATTTATCTCCAATAGAATATACCAATCGGTTTAGTGTTAAGTAGATGGTAGAATGGGTGGAGTACCAATCCACAGGTAAAGCACCATGATAATACACGATTACACCCGGCCCTTCTTTTGGTATGTTTTCCAATCCTATGATTTCGTGCCCTGTAAATTATAAAATTCTATTATTCATAATATACAAAAAGAAAATTTTAGAGTAGAGTAAAACATTATAGATTCTCTCTTAATTTCTGAATAACTTAACAACAAATTATTTATCACATTCATTGTTTACATATATTTTATTTACAAATGATTATTTACAAATGATCAAACATAAGCAACCAAATATTTTTACTTGTTTGCTGAAATATTTTGTTTCAGATAAGCGGCATCTAGCATAAATCAAGTAATTTTAAGACAGTTGCGATGGCATTCTTTTGACTGGGGGAGAAATAAAGGAGCCATGTTTTTTCAGAATTCAAATCTTCGTTTATCGTGGTCGTTTGAATTTAAATTTTTTTTATTAGATTTCATTTAGCGTAGAGCCAGTTACTTTAATTTTGAACAAGAATGGTATGTTTCTGTGTGCATATTATTATTGTTCTGCAATTATTCCATAATTTTATTGGTAATATTTATGCTTCTTACAATCTGTTCTTACGCTAAAAACGATTGAAGGAATAATATGAATAGGACTAAATGTCATCATTATTTCTATAGTATTTAAGTCTATCTGTTGGGAGCAAATATAGCTAAATTAGCTTAGGAATAAAACAAATCTAGGAATAAATAAGTCTAGGAATAAAAGAGGCCATCGTATGGCCTCTTTTATTCCTAGACTTATTACACCGTCCTAAACACAAGATCAGCCTTAGAACATCAATTTATTTTCCAAAAAAAAAGAATGCATTTCGGACCTACAATCCCCTTATCAGCTTCTTTACCAATCTTCATAAAATTGTACATTTCCAGTCTGAAAATGTGTCAATGAAATCTCAACATTTGATAAAGTTATCGGTTACAGATCCAGCCATTAGGTATTTAATTATGTTGAAACGATGTCTAGAGCAATACGATTAAAACAGTAAAACATTACACAGCATTATAAGCCGGCAACAGTTATAAGTATGAATAAAAGACACTGTTAAAGTACAGTGTAGCATTTATTTTACGAAACCGTTCATTAACAACGCTACAACCAAATAAGTTTTATTTGGGTGTAGCGTTGTTAATGAACGGCAATGTAATGGTTATATAAGTAAGTTGTTACAAAAAGAAAGCAAAAGGGTTATTTATTGTAGAGAAACTACAAATGAAAAGAAGGTTCTAGTATTCAGTGTATTCATGCTAGATGGGCCTAATAATGTGATACGAACGGGCATGGAGGCATACAAGTGCTGTAAGGTATCCTGCAGCATCTCGTCCACAGTTGCTGCAAGCGATCCTCTAGTTTGGTCAAATTCCTAGACTGTCCAACTTAGCATCCAAGGTGATCCCAGATATGCTCCTGTCATGACAGGCAACACCTGGTTGCAAGATGTCACTAACATACTGCTGGGCTGTCATGATCTCTTGAATCACTACAACAGGTGACCAGGCTGTCGTAGGTGATGGCATCACAGACTATTACACTAGCTGTGGGGGCGGTGTGCTGCTCCAAAGCCGTAGACAGGATTGAGACGTTTACCACGGGCATCCAGACACTAACACGGCCGTCGTCAGTGCCCAAACTGAATCTAGATTCGTCACTGTAGATTACTCGGTTCCATTCTGTTGTGGTTCAATCCCATCGGGAGCGACATCATTCCAAACGGAGGCGACGGTGGGTGGCAGTCAATAGCAACATATGTAATGGCTGCTACAATACCAAATGTTCCTCACTCAGGCGTCTTGAAATGGTAAGGGCAGACACAGAAGCCTGTAATGATGGCGCCAGCTGTGTCTGGATGGTGGACAACGACACAGAGCTTGTGGTCTGCCAAAGGCGTCCTGAACCTGGGTGCCATGTGCGGGAGCTCTCTCTCATCCATTGATCACAGTGTTGTCAGAACGATTGGTGGGTTATTAGACGAGATGACCATCCAGATTCTCTCAATCCAATGATCCATCCTCCCCTTCTCAAACAAGGTTCGTTGTTCATATGGTTTTCGATTGTATTTACGTCACAATGTCCTTCTGCAACAGGTAAATTACAGACCAGAATGCATTTGCACATTTTTTTATAGGCCAACGGGGACGCACTTTAATGGTTTCTGCTGGCATTACGCAACGAGCCACCATGCTGTAATTCTAATCACTTCCATATATGCTTGAGACTGCATGCCAAGTTTCCAACGATACGACAACTCCTTGGTGCGCTAATTTTTATGGCAATAAGTGTATTTTCTGTTTTTAACATTATATTTCATTTTGGCATTAAAAAATATAGCTAACTCTGTCATGTCCTTAAGATATGATAAGCATATATAAACAATAATTCAAATATAGCTTTGTGGCAAAAAATGTGATGTTTATGTTATTTAGACACAATCTAAAATATATTTTTCAATTCTTTTAGTTTCGAAAAAAACTTTTTATCGTCAAATTAGAAATTATTCACACACTTTTTTCCCTCTAAATCTTAAAACTAAACTCAATCTTCGGTGGATCTGAACTCACTAGTTATTTTTCAAATGGACAACTTAATCAATGTAAAAATTCGAAAACTGAATCTAAGGATGTAAAAAAACAACACCAACTTGTTATTAAAATAAGAAATTAAAAATAATTAAAGAAATTATAGATAATTTTAAAAATTAGTGCTAATATTTATAAACAATTCAAAATAAAAATGATTTTATAACTCGTTTTTCAACAACAATAACAACTTTATATTCTTTGTGTTAAAAAATTCTATATTTATTATTTTAATTTTTGCATTTTATTATTTACATAGTCTTATTTCCATAAAACATAATTTATATTACTCATCAAAGTGATAACTCAGGCTGTCAGCAAGTCTTAAGAGATTTATACGACTATAATTCGTTTTTTCTCGGGCATTATTTCGTTGATTGAAACGACAAATTTTCAGAATAAATCAAATTTCAGAAATTTATAGTTACAAGCAGGGCTGTGGAGTCGCGTAAAAATCTACCGACTCCGACTCTTCCTTACCATCCGTCTCCAACTCCGATCAGGGGCGGACTTGTTACCGAAAGAGACCCGGAAATTCTGATGTCATCACGTGACCTCAGAATAAAAGATTCAATAAATAGAGTTCTAATAAAGATACAACGTAGAAACTTTTTATTCCAAAGCTAAAAGACTCCTCTAAGTAATATATAAATATGTATTCGATAATTTTTACTTTTCCCTCTGTTATATATAACAGATGGAAAGTGTAGCGCTCGGTCAAAAAATGACCCTTCCCAAATTTTTACAATTTTGGACTCAGGACACCTTGAAATTTTGAGATATGCAAAAGACTCAAGGTTTTTTTCTATATTTGTGGATGTTATACTGTGTGTGGGGGCATGATTTGTTCACTTCGTTTCAAGCCTAATAATTTCTGTGGTCTGAGTGGTTAGAATCGGAGTCAGATGGTTTAACACAGGAGTTAGTTATTAAGTGTCAAGGTGTTTGAATTAAATCGTGTCCCCATGCATATTCTAACATCTTAGGCCAGAACATCTTAACGGGTTTTACTCTACTNTAAGTAACAATGGAAGTGTCAACAATGGAAATGCTACGTAACAATGGAATTGTTAAGAGAAAGCGACGTGCAAGACGCAGATGCAGTTTTTTTCGTTTTTGCGGGAAATCGAACATATTTTTAGACCCATCTAAAAATTCTCTAATTAGTCTGGAAACAAGGGGACCCAATTCTTGCATTCTGTGAAAACGGGTAAGGTTTACTGTAACGTAATAATCTTTATCTTAGTTATCGTTACTTTTGCCCGAGCAACGCCGGACCCACCTGCTAGTTATTTAATATTTCAGAAGAGAAAATAAAGAAATTAAACAAATTAGACTCCAACACACACGGGCGCGAATTTTCCCCCTTTTATTGACTTTTTTGAGGGGTTCGGGAGGTCTCCAAACATGTGAAGTTGAAAAAAAAAACTTGGCGGATCAAATTTGACGCGATTCCAATACTTTTCCGTTTTATATACATAACAAGTCGGGAAGTAAAAAGGAGTCGGAGTCGGCGGATTTTTTGACGACTCCGACTCCGACTCCGGCTAAATCACCAAAACTCCACGACTCCGACTCCACAGCCCTGGTTACAAGTAAGAAAGATAAAATTCTTATGCTCAACAGAAACAGTGTCTTGTTAAGTATACTCCTGGATGTAATTAATAGTAATATTTTGTCAGTATTAAATTACACATAGACTTTGAACTTTTTTGACTATCTTCAAGGATTCCTTGACCTTTTATCAAACCCCTCTCTTATGTAAATACAGTTAATAATAAATAAATAAATCTAGTAAGCCAGAGTATTAATCCACACACCGTTTTCACAGAAAAGATCTTATAATTGACAAATCAACATTCTAAACTGTCGTATACAAAAGCCATTGGACTAATAATTTTTAATAAACCATTTTCAATTGATCCTAGAAAATGCCTTATCTATCCTTTTGGGTCCACCTGAATTAAGCAATTGCTGTGAAATTCTTTTCTAATGATGTTTTCAAATTATTTATACTGTAAATGTCGAATGAATAATTTTATAATGCACTTTATTTCAAAGTTTTATTACAATACTACGTAAATGCAATAAGCGCAACTCATGGATAGTTTTTAAAATAGATATTCGATATATACCACTTCAAAATCCTTATGGAAGTAGCCATCATAACGCCGAATTTCTTGTGATTTTATGAATTACTGATAATTGATATTGAATCTCCCCGATTTATTCGTAATTAAAATATTGACGTGACCCATTTTCTTGAAGAGCTATAGAAACAATGCCATTACTTAAACTAGGTCATGTATACAAGATCCCACATCCATTCTATCATTCCTTTTATTTTCTTTACGTGACTGAATTCATGAATTACGAAATAAACAATTATTTCTCGCAAAAGGACAGAAAAGTATACTCAACTGTGACGAATGTAATTTTTCAGATTACAGATAAAATCTTTATGATTAACATATATATGCAATTAA